AACGGAGTAGCGCAGAATGGGGAGGCGTGGCTTAGACAAATGGCTCGCTTGAGTTGGCCCGAAACCCGAAGGCCATGGCTTGCAGGTTGGTTTGGAGCCGGCCTTCTGTGCAAATTGGGAGGGAGGGTGGGGTTCTGAACCCCACAAAGCGTGGGAAAACAGAGTGCAAGGAACAGAATGCGAGGGTGACAAGTGATTTGTACTGTGGCGCTAGGGCACCACAGTCACGAAGCAAAGGCAGGATGCTTGTGGCTGTTGTTCATTGTTCAAAGCTGGGCATGTGTTCTGGGCAAAAAATGATTCACTAAGAGTACCTATTGTGGTAATTTGATGGATCCCTCCCAGTAACCAGTAGCGGTGCTTGATGTTGTCTAAAATTTTGTCAGGGTCCTTAGATGTCCCCTTTAAATCTCTTTAAACATCACAAGTCTCATCTTATGGCTAAGTGATGATTAAAGATTTGATTCCCTAAAAAGTGAGGGTTTTATCAGTTGACTGTTTCAATGTGTTTCACTAACCCCTTTAAAGCCATTGTTTATCATCAAACAAGTGAGGTTTTGTTCTCCCAAAAGGGGCATGCCTCGATTGATCCCGGCCTTGCTGCCCACCAGGTGTTGGCGCTTTCCTCGATAAAACCCACAACAAAGGCCGGTTGACGTAGGTAACCAGGGGAAACCATCCGTGGACTATAGGGGTAACTGGAAGCACTGGGGCCACTGTTTAGGTAAAGGGTATAGGACTCATTTTCCCTTGGGGTCTCATCGGGGCCCACCAAAAACTGATGCTCGGTAATATGGCCTGCTTGATGATACATAGCGGTTTGGGCTCAACTAGTCTCAATCGTGGCAGATAGAGTCAAGTCAGCCCATGTAGACAAGGAGATCAGAGTACCTTTTGGCGGCAGTTGTTGTCCCTGAGATACGCGGCCAACACGGGCAAGGCGCGTGGGAGGCTCCGTGGGAGGTGCGAAGAGGAGAATGGCTGCAAAACAATAAAGCTGTGAGTCAAATGGATTGGCAACAGGATCGAGGAACATAGCTTGTTTAATCAACAAACAAGACGCGACGCCATGAATATTGTTCCTGCAAGCCATGCGACTGAACCATCGCTAAAAACTGACCAATAATTCCATTGTTTGAACGGTTGAATGACCTGCCAGCTGGTGTCGAGCAGTAAAAACGTTTAGTATAGAAGTGCTTTCCCTCAAGCCCCTGTTGGGAAGGGGCCCTCATTCGACAGCCGCAAGTCTGCCAGGCATATTGTCTGTACTTGGGGATCTGAGTTGGCTCATTCACAGTGGAAAAAGGAACCACCGTTCCCGTACTCCAAAACAGCTGCCATGGCCAAGGCATCTGAAAATCCTCCTTCCCAACTGGCAAAAAAGAATCTGCCGCCAATCATGACATGCTCGCGCCGAAATCAACATTGTTTGCTGGGAGGCATCACCAATGCTTGGCATTGAGGTCTGTAAGGAATAAAGCCACAGGCTTGCCCACTCTCCTCAGTCTCCTCTCGTGGGAGTTCAACCAATCATTTTGGGTCTATGGGCCCATTCTTCTCCTGGGTTGGTCTGGAACCAGCCCGCTGCAAAAAAAAAAGGCACTTTGACTCATTTGAGCGGAACCTTCGTCTTTTTTCAAAATCGGTGACCTCCTTTGCTTTTCCTCTTCGCTTCCGTTTGATTTGAAACCAAACAGGGAAACCAACATTCCGTGAGCATCCCATGCCATGCCCCTCCCCATCCTGCTTGGTGTGGCTGCAGCTGCCGCGGAGGAAGTGGGGCTCGAAGTTCCCGTCGATGGCGCGCGAGGCTAATCCCTGGCAGCCCAAAGTTCTTATTAGGTGATCCACCAAACCAAAGGTGGTTTCCTTTCAATCGAGTGGAAAAGGGCATGCTTAATTGGCCGAATTCCACCTTTTACGGAGCCTGCCAAGCCACGCCGTAAAGGAAAGGATCTTTTCAAAAACATCCACCCGGAAATGGGCCCACCTTCTTAGAGGGGACTCACCTTTTGACGAAGTCTTCAACTTCACATCAACTCATTCTAGCTTCAGTCAGAACAGGGTTGGCTACACGGGGGAGGACTTTCAGGCTCAGTCGAAGTGCAGCATGCCCTGCGACTTGTGCGAACCTGGTCTATGATGACAGTATCAAAGTAAAGTACATCTGATCAAGCAGCGTTTCGCTGCAACGCAATCAGGACATAATTTAACACTTGGCCGTCTGAAAGATATAGCAAGGTCAGGCATGTGGAGCAGTTTGTGACAATGATGACCAACTCACTCGCCCGAAGCACATAGAAAGAAAAATGAACCTTTTGAGACCTTGAACCAAACAAATGGGAAACTTGAAGGGTCAAGAACTCGGCTTTGGGCTTAGTTATGCAAAAAACAAAACATGGCAGGTGCCATGGAACTTGAAACACCTTTCAGCCCACAGCCATCGAACGCGCCAGCCGGCCCAAAGGCCCCCCGAGAGGCGGGCGCCTGCCAGTCCTCGCTGGACTGCCGCGCCTGCGAGAGCGGGACCGGAACCAGATCCTGGCCCGACTGGACGAAAAAGCGAAAGTTGGGTGTGGCGCAATTTTATTCACGGGAGGGGCAAACCGCAGGTTTCCAGTTTCCATGTTTCTACTTACCAGGGCAACCCAGCTTGGTAGCGGTGTTTTGAGCCACAGCCAGTTGGACACCTCTGGGCCTCTCCTTTTTTAAGGCTACCTTTTTGGGGGCTGTTTCTGTTGAGGCTACCGTTTTTGGGGGGTTGTTTCTTAATTGGGAAACCAAAGGGGATGTTTTTTCTTGTTGTTTGTCCGGTTTGTTGGGCCCTCGACAATCAATTCTTTGCTTTACCTTGCACCTTTCGTAGGCAACCGGCGACAGCGGATTCCCTGAAACGGAAAAAGTGTTCCATGTCTACTTGGGTGTGGCTCCAGCAGGGATCCTTACCTCTAGGTGCATGATGGTTTCCCATGGTTACCTAAGTAGTGGCAATTGGAAGCACTGGCTAAGCAAATTTAAAATTCAATGGGTCGTTCGGTCCCCCACGGTAGACTTAAACCCAGTAACAGAAACAAACAACAACATCAAAAAAAGCTGGGTCGAAGCCTGTCGGTAACCAAAAAAGTGATTGGTGCACATACATCCCCACCTAAATGATGTCCACCCAAGGGTCCCGACTTAAAATTCATACCCATATATGTATGTAGGGCACATAAATCAATATATATATATATGTGGTCATATATGTGGACACCCGCTTTTGATGGATCCGGCCGTCCTTCGCCGCGATGCCAAACGTCATAGCCTCCCCAACGGCCAGCGGCGAGGAAAAGCCCAGCGCCACGGCCGCGGGGGCCACGAGGTCCTCGTCGCAGTCCGCGTAGGTGGCGCACCACAGAGACGACCAGGTGCTGAAGAAGCGGCAGGAGTCGTCCTTTCCTTAGGGCACCCGCAACTCAGTTCAGTGACCCTGGAAAAAACGGGAACCCTTTTTGAGGGAAGACAATTTTTAGCGGGGCAGCCACCAAAGAAAAGGGGGAAAAAGGTGCCACTGAACAACTGAGGCAAAGTTGCTCTTGAGCAACGAAAATGGTTTACACCCAACGTATAAAGACTAGAAGCTCGAAAAAAAACAAGGCACGGTGAAACCAATGGGATCTCCATGATTTGCAGAAGGTGGATAGGTTGAGCTTGTTTGCTGGAAGAAACCAACGAGCATAATTCACAGGGTGGATTCGATTTGGACTGACAATATCATGGCACTCATGCATTTATTCAAAACTGGGCTGTCCTGCTAAAAGTTTACCTTTTAGTGGGTTAGATGGAAAACCCCCCACCAAACCCCAAGAAGCTCAAAGGCTAAACAGCTAAGGAACCGGATGGCTAAGAGCCACCAGCAAAATACAGCTGGGTCAACTTAAATGGGTGTGGCTCAAAATGAAAGAGCCAGGATGAGCCAGGGTTGCGCAGGCTTTAGTGTTTGATTCCATCTACCAAGGTGTCTGTTTGGTACATCTTTTTGAGCCAAAGCCAAATCTGTCTCCGTGTCTCAACAAAAGTGCCCAAGGCTCGGCAGCGCTGCTCGCAGCGAGGCTCATAGCCCTGGAAGAGCGGCTCTGAGCCTCCGCAGCCCCTGACACGAGCTTTCACTTTCGTCGTTAGGACTGGGGAGGCGGGTTCTCCGCCAAAATGGTAAATATGGGTGTGGCTCAAAATTAAACAGGAGGAGTTACGCCAGGTTTTGGTCCATGTTTCCACTTACCAGGGTTCCATTTTGGTACCGGTTTTTTGAGCCACACCCATATAGCTGTGGCTCGAAAGTATGGCGCTCAAAACGGTACCATATGGTACCTTGGTAATGAAAACAAAGACGAACACCTGCGTAACCCGGAAGTTCGCCCAACATAGCCGAACAAATGATGTCTAAAAAGAAACATGAAGACAAATCACGTTGCCAGAAACCTTCGCGGGTGAGCTGGTCTTGAGGGTGTGCTCAAGACAGGTTGCGCAAATGGGCGGAAAGCTTGGCATCTTGCCGTCTTCTCCCAAAGTGCTCGGGCCCGCAAAGTCCGAATGTGTTGTTTTTTCACTGTATCGTGTTCAACATATGAAGTTCAAAAACTGGTGGCCAAGTTGGTATACCGGTGAAAGGGACACATCATTCAGTCAGTGGTGTTTCTGTCTGGAAATGATCATTGCAACAACGATATTGGCTAATCAACTACTAATATGATGTGCCTGTATCGTCTTACCGTCGAACGATGTTCTACATAGGGCGTCTTGCGCCAGGGGTCGACGTGGGTTGGTGTCGAAAATGAAGGACCCCCGAAAACAAATAGGTGGTACACCGTCTTTGGTCTTCCCCTTCAAAACAACCCAAAGGCTACCCTAAATTATAACACAGTAAATATTGCGTTCTTCACGCACACTTATCCTGATACATCTTTGTTGCGACATCGGGCCCAAACTTTCCGCTTTACATAAACTATGTTGACAAATAGCAATTATGTTTAGCATGCCGAATGTGTTGGTTTGTAGAGAAAAACACAAGAGCAACTCTGCAAATACGCCACAAGTCCTTAAGTCGTGGCAGGTTGCTTGGGCGCGAGCAGGAGCTTTGCTTGCGACCTATGTTCTTGGCTTACGCGGCAGTCAGCGAGCTTGTCAAGCACTCTGAGGAGGAGCAGGAGGTCGAGGAAGGTGATAGTGATGACGCATTGCTCTCAGGCGGAGCAACTTGGCGCTGTTGCTCTCTTCGGCGTCTTCGCTTTGTAGCCCTCTTGCTCAGCGCTTTGGATATGGCTGACAACGTTACCTCGAGATTTCGTGTTGCCTCAGCTGCCTGCTTACACCTTCTTGCGGACCATTTAGTATTGCTCAATCTTCTGAGCGGAAACCCCTGTGTTTGCCCTGGCATTCCACAAATTGTTCAAGCAGCTACGAAGCAGAGCTTACGCGGGCGCTTACGCAGCATGTTCCCCAAAAAGGCGCTGACGCCGGTTTGAACCGTGCAGAGTTTTGCTTCTGCGGGGCCTTCCCATGGCACAACTCTTAGCAGGCAAAGAAGGTGTTCAGAACTGCTCAGAAGGTTTCAAACTCGAACAAGACCTGACCCCTCACGTGGAGAGTACATGCGTATATATATATACATACACATATAATCATATATATATATATATATGGGCAGCCATGGTACAGGACCTATTTCGACACATGGCTGTCAAGGACTTGCAGATGAGACATTTGTATTGGATTGGCAGATGTGATGGAACACAGACAGGATGACACAGAAAAAGAAAAATCAGGGGGGGGGGGGCTGAGCATACATATATAGATATGTATATATATATATATATATTATCATATCAGGCACCAATCCACTTCAAAAGACCAAACCTTCCAGGCTACACCAAAGGTCCACAATAAACATGGACCATGCATTAGTTTGGGGTTGGAAAACACTCCTGGCCACCTGCTTGCCACGTACGCTATGAACATTCCAGCGCGCAGCCCTCGAACAGTATCGCCAGTACCTGCTTCCCATGCATTTGCCTGAGTCCCTGGAACAAACTATGTCCAGTAGTGATAGATTCCGCTTAAAACCCAACAGAAGAACATCGGCATATTCTCAAGCTATGGAAGTTACACTGTGTTAAAGCACGTACACGCTCGCCGCTCACGCCCGCCTGTGGCAACACACACGGCCCAACAGCAGGCGAAAAGCGCCCAGAGAGGTGCGAGGGGCATAGACCTGCACCTCGGATAGAAAACTGAACGCCAACCCTGCCTTCCCCGCAGGTACGTTGATCCCTTCTATCCATCCAAACACCCAGCCTTGCACCTGGTTTGTTTGGGGGTGTTCAGGTTCCAACTTTTCCTGTCCGGCTAAACCATCGCTCCCGAAAGGACCCTTGCTTTGAGTTGGCAATCGAAAAGCGGCAAGAGGCAACGGGGAACCCTGTGGCTCTGGGCCTGTTGGATGGTAAAATGCAAGCAAGGATAAGCCTCGTCCATACGTTGACCTTGATTGGGCTCCTAATTTTTTGGATTCCTTTCCTCCAGAAAGGACAGCCTTGGTAACTGAGGGCCTGGGTTGTCAAGGGTCAACATTCTTCCGCTCCAGAAATCCTACCTGGAGCGTCTAGTTTAGCTCTCAGCTTCTTGGGTGACCTAGACTTGCAAATGGTCCCCCTTTCCTGACCGCGGGGTGGGGCGGGGGGAGAAAAGTTCCTCAATGAATTGCCCGTAGAAACCCCGAATGGGGCGGATCTTCGGAATGCCCGAGTGCATTGCCTCCAGCGTGCCTGAAGTCTCCTCATAGAGCATTTACTTTTGAACTGTGTGTCGGTTGTTCCGTAGGTTTGTGTTTCAAACTCGTCTGTGGATCATAGAAGGCTTCGCTTGTTTGAGGGATTCTGACCCCCCACCCGCCGCGCCCTGTCTAAGTGGCACCCCCTGGACATCCCTTTGGCCCATTTTCGGGTGAACTTTCCCCGATGCAGCGACGGCCTGAAATAGACTTCACAACTTGCCTTTTGACCGGAATAATAGCGAATAACAAGTAGCATCAAGTGGGCTTGTCGTAGGCGGGACCTCCCTGTTGCCCTCTGAATATCCTTTTAACACGAGGACAACAAAAGCAAGAACTACATGCGCGAACAAAGAAACCCTGGTAGACCAACACAGAGAAGCCAAAAGATTAAACGGTTGGCTTTGGGCAAGTACAGTGAAGGATACTCTGCCTGCACGAACTGAAGCCGGCACAATAACATACTACTGAAGGCCCACAAACCATGCAGTCTAAACATCCGCGGAGTAAGCAACATGAACCAATTCCTTCAAGGCCGGCCTCTGGGGTCCTTTGTGGCGTTAAATTCACAGAAACCCTAAAGAGCAGCTTCGCAATTGTTGACACTAACATCTAGCGCCTGCTGCACGTCTGCCCCTATCACCGCCACATAGCGCCCCGCCAGCCCGCAACGTAGAGGGTGGCATCGAGGGTTCCTAAGTACCAAGGGCAAACCAGGAGACACGGTCAGATGCTCGAAGTCCGTCCTGGGCATTTGTAGCAAGTGGAGCCAGGCCAATGCCAAAAGAACAGTCACACGTACACAAGAAACCTGAGGTGCCTTTTGACCAATCTTAACAATCCTGAAATTGGTCTTTGCAGCCATTAATCTAGCGGGGGAGACTCAATTTGGTTTCCCCTAAGAAACCCCAAAAAGAAGCCCCTGGGCTCCCTGGTAGACACCCCACCGATGAATGCTGAAAGTTGGCCACGCGGAAACACAAGCGAAAAATGGGTCACAAAGGCTCCGGATGGCAACTCCCTTCGAGCGGCACATGGATGTCTCATTTGTTTCGTTCCTAAACCAAATGCCTGCACCGAGGTGTGAACGGTGCGAACATCCCTTGACCCACCTCAATGAGGGGCCCATACATCTCTAACCAATCTCACTGATGTTACTACCCAAAACGGGAAATGGGCGGCTCGTCTTTGAGTTGGTACCCCCCCTTTTTAGCTGCTTACAAGAACACTAACGGACAACCACATGAAAGCCAAAGTAATTGTTTTGGGGGGGGCCAACCTTAAAAGAGGCACCCCCAACTAGAAGCATGCACTCCTCTGTAATTATTGCTTCCCTGGCCTCCAAATCTCCGGGTGATCGCCTACCCTCACCTCCAAAAGGTCCGGCACATCTGGAATTTCCACCCGCGCCACCTGGGCGAGCCCAAGTTGGTTGCAACAAGCAGGTTATGTACAGCCAACATGGGTCTATCTGTTTCTGAGGGTACTTGATTGAAATGGGCTTTAAAGGAAAACCAAAAGGAAGACCACCGTTGTGGAGGGGAAAACACACCCGAGCACAATAAGGCTGCTCAAGCGTGTCTAGATATCTGCCACGGTACACAAAAAAGAGCAAGCTTTGCAGGGTCTTTGTCTGTGGACTATTGGAAGGACAAACCAAACCTCACACCTCCCATGCTCAAAACTCTGATGTGGGCCATGTCTTAACAGGACTCCTAGACTCCTCATCAGGTTTGCCTATTTAGAAGTCCATGACCTGCCAAGTAAATGAGTGTTTAGACCACCTGCGCGCCACAAACTGTTCGCTCTTGTACCCCAATCCTCTCCTTCGGCAAATTGAGGGGTACCCCCCTCTCATAAAATCTGTCTTGGCGGGTTCCATGTTTGGGGACGGGTGGCTTTCTCACAGAACTGCTGGTTTCAGGCAAACCGCCTGTAACAGCCCGCCTGCAGCCGCTCAGGCAGCTGTACGCGCCACCAGCCCCCTGCGCCGTGCGCCGCCACCGGTTGGCCCGGCGCCACGTCCCCAAGGCCTGCGATGCGGATTCCGGCGGAGTCCGGCGGATGGGCCAAGCCTCGTGCTGGTTCCCTAGATTCAGCTAGGTCCTCCAGTAGAGAGGTTGGAAAGAAGTTGGTACCCGATCTTTGTTCTGTAGTCTATTTTAATAGGGGAAGCCTCCCCAAAAAAAATGGACCTACTGGGGGACCTAGAATCAGGGTGCTTTCCTTGCTATCGATTCAATCATTCTTCAAATCCCTAGGTCCCCGTAGGTTTTCCTTCGATTCAAGGATAGATTCACTCCCAAAAGCTCCCTTTTGATTCCCCACTGAGAGCCAGGTGGTTGAAACATGCTTACACCGCCATGTTGTTTTTTTTGTCCAAAGCTTTTGTTGGTTTCCGTGGGGCCTGGGTCTGGTCGAAACATGGTTCCCAAGCCTGATACTGCCAGGCTAATCAGCAGTGGGAACACCTCCAAATTAATCAGCCCAAAAAAAACACAAGGACCTTAGCATATCTGGAATATGTAAGCCGAAAGGGGAAAGTGCTCTTGGAACTCCAGGTTCTTAGTGAGCAACTCTTTTTTAAGAAATGTCCAGCCCGAGAGAAGCCACTATCTCTGAACGATCAGTATTGGCAAAGTCGGTTCAGCGGTAGGATGTGGAACACTGCGAAACACATACGTCGTTTATGCGTGACAAACAAAGGAATGGGAGGGGATCGGGGGACCCAAATGCCCAAATGCCTGCATGGGACCTATGACCCCAAATTTCATGAAACTGAGAAATCGAAAGCAATGCAAAAGGTCGATTTGAATGGGAAGACTGAGTGGCTAATTAATTGAGCGGGCTGGAAAAAGTAGCAGGTTGAAACATCCATTTGCTTTGGACAGTCAGTCAGTCAGTCAGCGCCAGCTAGCCAGTGTCAGTGAGCGAGGGAGCGAGGGAGGGAGGGAGGGAGGGAGGGAGTGAGTCAGCAAGTCAGTGAGTCAGCGAGTCAGTCCCTCAGTGAGTCAGTGAGTCGGTGAGTCAGTCACTTCTTGTGACAGGGCAGATGGGGATGGCCCTAGCCTGACAACAAAGCGCGCCTAACTTGATCACTGAATAGACTTAACAAAATCAGCTGGAAGAACGTCTACGCGAAGGTGGCAAAATCCTTATGATAGAGACTGAACTTGGGTCAACTTGTCCCGGCGCAGCTGGTTCCTTTCCCATTTTCACCCAACTAGACGGTTGGATTTGCAGTGTAGATGGTCACCAATGGCAAGAGAAGGAATACACTAAACCCAATAATGGAAACAATTGAAGAACGCTTTCCGGTCCATACGCCGAGCGACGCCTGAAAGGCTTGCAAAGGCAACAGCAACTACCGGGGACCCTGCCACACATATCTGGGCCGCCCTGGAAAGCCTTACATCCTGAGCCCAAAGTTTGCAAAAGTTGAAATGCAGTTCTTCGGCCCGGCCAGCTTTAGGATCCCAATCAACTCACGCTTCTGGTTGCCCCATTAATCGGTCTGAAACAAATCACTGCCAACCTGTACTTTTTCCCCGAATCCATAGAACTATGTCAAGGCTTAGATAGCTGGACGTCCTTTGAATTGGTTTCCTTTAGCTTCCGTTTGGCTTCCCCTTCGTTTCCAATTCAATCCTCGGGTCCAACTTTGGCTGAAGCGCGCATGCAATGCACGTCATCCTCAAGCTGCGGCGCCCAACAGTCGTAGCTCGCCTGCGCGGATGGACAAAATGCGGCCCTGTCACCAAACCTGTGACAGAAAGCGAGAGGTAAAAAAAACAAAAAAAACGACAGAAAAACACAACAGATTCTGGTGAACCCCGGAGGAGCAAAGGGAAGCAATGGATTCTGTTGATCCAACGGGAAACCCAAAGGAGCAACTAGAAACCTACGGGACCCCCAAAGGAATTTGGTGACTCAAGGGAAACGCATAGGAACCAAAGCGAACCCAAAGCAGCCGCCCGTAGATCTTGGCAACCCAAGAGAAATTTGCAAGAAATAAAGGCAATCTAAGGGAAACAGCAAGACATATTCTGGGCGTTTACAGGGAAAACCAACAAGCATCTGGATGTCCCCAATGGATCCTGAGGGAAAACTACAGACTGTCGCAATGGTTTCGTCATTTCCATAAATCATGAAGGACGACCTTTCAGGGAGACCCAAAGACGACTGCTTACTCCCCTACAAAGCAAACATGGAACCCAGAAAATAGCCATGTGTAGAGGAAACTCTTCTTGGTGGAGCCGCCTTTGTGGGTTGCATGCTCATTTGCCTTGAGCTTGCTCAAATCGGCCTGCCTGCAGCTCAGCAAAGAGAGGTGCCAGCCTGGGTCAAAAGGAGTCCTTCTAGGAAGCCCACGGCTCGTTTCGTGCGCGCGAGCCGAAACGAGCCGTGTTGCGCTTTGTGGAAGCAATCGAGAAGCAGAAGAGAAACCAAGCCCGGCGATTCGGTTTGCTATACGCAACCAGGTGTTTCTCCTATTGGTTTCTCAGTGCTTCCAGTTGCAAGAACCATGATGTAAATCTAGAGGTAAGAATACCTGGTTACCTACTATAGTGGGAACTTGAAGCACTGGGTTTTACCAACTTTGCTTTCTTGGCTACGGCCTGTGAAACAAATATTCCGGGAATCTGTCCAATTTGTCAATTCCGAGCTGTCGCCCGGTAAAACTCTCAGCCCATCGCCCGGAATGGACCAGGTGCCCAGTCTCGCAGGCCAAAGAAGACTGCCCTGAACAAGAAAACCAACAACCAACAAAACAATAAACAACCAAACAATCAACCAACAACCAACAACCAACAACCAACCAAAACCAACAAGAAAACCAACAATTGCCATGTGTCGAAGCCCCTGTCGAGCCTGATCTTTGTAAAACACATACATGGGCGTAGCTGTTTGGAGGGTACCCTTTTCGGGGTTGTCTTGAAGGAAACCCAACGGAAACCAAAAAGGAAAAAACCACCATTTTTTTTTGGGGGGGGGTCCCCTTAAAAAATAAACTTCATCACGTGTGGGTGTCTCCGACAGATTTTGGGCCCTAAAATTGGTGCCATGGGTTGGCTCCCCTTACTCACCATCCTAGGGGAGTGTCCTTGAACACGCCCGTCACATCGTCCCTATCATCTCAAAGCCTGTCTTGGGTGCAGCAAAAACCGGTGCACAATGGAGTGGCTTTCACTATCCCAGCTCCACTTTGCTTTAGAGTGCGACTCTAAGGCTTGTGTTTTGAACTCCCGATGCAAGGGGATGGGCGGCAGTGCGAGTGAGGGAAACCGAAGTTGGGAGGGCCAGCGGCCAGGTGGCTGCTGGTCATCCGTGAGGTTGTTCCGCTCGAACTGCAGGCGCTCGGGGAAGTGCCCCGTATCCGCGCCGTGGCGAAGGACTTGCTTCAAGATGAAGACATCGAAGCCCTGAGGATCAACATTTCGGGGATTTCTCAAAGTCAACACATTGTGAGACTGAGAAAACGCGTCAGCCGATGGAAGACTCGTTCACGAGGGCAAGCTGGGAGTGCGGAACTGGGATCTAGGCACGGCCCAGACAAGGTTTCGGGGAATTGCTACGAAGCCTGCGCAGGGCGCGTGCGAAACAGGAGCAACCCCATTCAGTTGTCAACCCCAAAAAAAGATAAACTCCTCTAACTCATGTGAGTGTCTTCAAATAGGGGACCCCCAAAAGATTGGTGGTCCCTTTAAACCAACCCTATAGGGTCACCTCGAAATGAGACGGACCCATGTAGCTTCTGTGGCTGCATCCACAAACTCCGACTGTGCCTGTGCCGCTCTTGGGGCCGCGGTGTATCTCGTGCGAACTCTCATGATCAATCCTGCTGAAGACCTCAACAAAAACAGCAGGAGGTTGGCTCATCTTCTAAAACCCATGTTCAGCATGAGGGCATTGGGTGCAAGCTGGATAATGTTCTCAGATTTCATCCCACACAGGTGTCCAATCAGGTGTGTGTGTGTGTGTGATCCTTGAGAAGTCAAAAAGCAAATGCGTCTAACAGGTGTGGTCGTCGGATTCAGGATCCAGCACATCGCTCTGTGGAGAATCCGCTACAGAGGGGGCCAAATACCTGGTCAAATGCTTCATAGCCCAAGCAAAGGTTTCAGGATTCCCGCCTCTGTGTCGACCTTTAGCATGTGGATGCTGGTGACATTGTAGCGCTGCAGCAGGGAGGCGTAGCCTTCAGAATTGTGGCAACTTGGGGGATAGACTCGCCGGAGCCACGGGAGCCGGGAAGTAGTTCTGATCAACACCCTTTTTGAGCAAACGCCGGCGACATTTCCCTACCCTGCTCCTTCACATTGGCATTCCCAGCCTCGTGCCCTCTCAGACATCCACCCCCCCAAATCAGGCCATTAACAAATTATAGCCTGTACAAGCAAGGGGTTATGGGGCTGTCCATTCTTGCTGTGGGCACCTTCTTTGTTTTACCTACCACAAACATGAGGCAAACAACACACATTTGTCTTCTCACCCAAACGCCAAGACGCAGCAAACTCAATAATTAAGGTCGGTCAAGCACAAACTGCAGAATGTGGTTCTCTTTCCTCATTGGTTCATGCAGGATGTGCAACAGAACCCCCCCCCCCAACCCGGTCACCCCAAGTTCAGTCTCCTGAAAAGCCATGCCGAGCGTCCAACTCGCTCTGCGACATCCTACGAATGTCCACAAATGCGGAGCTTGCACTGGATCGAAAGAGGGAGCCGTACACCTCAATTGTGTATATATTCACACTATATACATTCATGTGTGTATACAAACAACATTTGTTTGTGTCGTATCCTCACACACACAAATATCTGTACGCACTATACTTGTCAATACGTGCGCTTATGTCGTTCTCAGTGCTTCCAGTTCCTACAATAGTAGGCAACCAGAAACAACTGGCATGATGTATCATCTTAGCACTTGGATTTGTAATCCTCCATTTGCTTAAGTCCCCTGGAAAAAAAGCAGCCAGAAAAAACATTTCCAGTAGTGATAGATTCCCTTTAAAACCTACAGGGGACAACAAAAAAAATACTTGATAGATTCCCTTTAAAACCTACAGGGGAGAATGGAAAAACATATTCTTAACCACATGGAAGTCATTCAACCGAAGTGCGCAGGGTGGGCACTTTCACCACCTCTTGCGCGTCCAGCGCCAGCTTTGGCCCTAAGTGCGTCTCCACCAGCGCGTTTGGGCGGTGAAGGCTCGCCGTGGCCCTAAGCGCCCGGGGCAAACTCAGCTTTGATACTGTGGCTGGACGAAATCCTGCACCACTTTGAAACCATGGGAACCCATGGTGTGTTGGTATTTACAGGGGAATCATCATTCTAGGGTTTCTTGGGTGGTGCAGGATTTCGTCCATCCACAGTATGTGGGTCAGAAACAGGCACCCAAACTGGAACCCTAGTAAATGGAAAAACAAGGACTGCCACCTGCGGTTCTCTGGTGGTTTGAGTTTGACCCACTTCGAGGTAGAACCCACTTCGGAGTCTTTAGGCCTTTGCCGGCTGTGTGGGGTGCTGTTGTCCCGCTTGGATTCGTGTTGCATGCCAAGCAGAAATCCACCATTTATTAAAGGGAAATATTAATACTATAATTATTAATATATATATATATATATATATCTATTTGTATGTTTATATGCATACTGTATCCCAATAAGGTAGTCCCAGAAGGACCACTCTGGTGAGCTGGTTCTTGGTGCAAAGCACTACATGATGCAATCCATTGCAAACCCTTGCAAATATGTTTCCACTATGAATGAACTGTGGAGACGCTGCATGACGACGCAAAAAGAGGGCGCTCGCAACACACTCTTGCAGCTAAACATCACACGGGCCCTGTGTGGTGAGGTCAACCTGTCAACAACATGTCTGCGCCTGAACCACCAGGGCAGGCAGTAGGGAAGCCCCAGCTTCTGCACCGTAGCTGCGCTGCACTGGGGTTCCATGTACCTCAGAGAGTTGGTTGATCCCATGGAGGCAAATCTGAGACTCCGAATTCTAATCCATTATCCCTAGTGGCGTACTATGAGCAGGGAAGCCACCACCTGAAAGAAGGATTAATTGCGGACGTATTTTGAACCCCGAAGAAAAAAAAAAAAAAGTTCCCCTTGGCATCCCGGTGAATCAATTCCAAAAGGCTACCCTGAAAAAGTCGCAGTCTTTGGTTGACCTGTTTGGCACATCTTGGCATACTAAGAGTCTCCCAACCTGGGAGGGCAGTGTGGCGACTTGCAGTTTCATGGGCACCCCGAAAATGGAAACCAATCACATTCCCTCGACGGTCTGCCTTCCCTTGCCAGCCCTTCAAACCTTTTAGGCAAAAGAGAAGCGGACGGCAAACCACGCAGAGATATGGCCATGGGTCAAAACCCAAATCGGTTAGCCCCCAGTGAACATCCCAATCCAAATAGGTTCTAAAATGGGTGGTGAATTCACCTACCCCAAAATGGTACCATTGGTTATTGACCCATGGCCATATCTTCCAGAACAACTGTTTCCCACGCAACCAAAATCACAAGCGTGCAAAAGCAGCGGTTGGGGCCCGGGTGCCTTCGCGTATTTGGACCCAAGGGTTGACAAGATAGGGGCAAGACCACGTTGTGGGTCTTGTCCCATTAAGCGGTGCAACATGACACCCTTGCCGGGTTCCCAATTGGCAACCCCAGGCCCTCACAAATATTATGCGCAAACAGGGATCACCGCATCCTTCAATGAAATTTGTCCCATCGGAGATCCAGAAGACTCTCGGGACTTCTGCCAAAGTCAGTCCCAACAAAAACAAAACCTTAGCCCGCTCATTGAAGTCACGTGGCCATGGGTCAAAACCCCGTACCTCCAGTGAACATCCCAATCCCCATTAAAATAGGTTCTAAAATGGGTGGTGCACCTACCCCAAAAAGGTACCATTGGTTTTGACCCACAGCTACATGCCTGACGGGATCGGAGGCACCGGGTTGCTTTGCTTTAGGCCTCCCAGCAAGACAAGTTTTGACCCCGCCGAATCCGCTGCGGTGCGGTTGCGTGAGATTTGCAAGCGCAATGGTAAGACCTGGCAGCAGGCACCCTCTTCGAAGCTTTGCCAACGTACCTCCACGGGCTATTTGTTCCAAAGCCCTCGCTCAGGTGTCACAGGGGTCAGAGGTCAACCTACTAAACTTCGACTCAGATGTTTGATTGTGGACTTGAATTTGGCGACCAAGGTGTTTGAGATGGCCACCCCTTCCTGGGTGCCAGAGCTACGAAAGCCCACGTGCACCAGCCCGGCCCCGACGAGCTGCTCGCTGCGGACCTTCCAAAGCTCTGCCTCTCCGTCCTCCTGCGTCGAAACGCCCCACTTTGATGTTGACCCCAGACCCGGTGAAATGTGGGGAACACCCCCATATTAATAAACAGGGGTTGATTAATATGGGGTTAACATTAACTGCCTTGGCAAGGAGTCACTGGGAAGCCTCGGTTAACCTAGCTCTGCTTCACACCTCGAAGGGCCGGTCTGTGGCTATGGGTTTGGGGGACTGCTTGTGGACTGGGGCTTCCCAATTAGTGGTTAACACGAGAATTGGGGGGCGTGCGAAGCACCAAGCCCAAGCCGCAACGAATCAGGGAGAAACACGTCAATCCCCTTGTGGCGTTCACCAAGAAACATACCGTCGTGGTAGCACCCGGTCTTTGAACATGGTGACAGTGAACGAGTATGTTTTACCATTCATGCATTGAGGTGTTCCTGCAACTATATACATATATATATATATATAGAGAGAGAGAGAGAGCGGAGATGCTTCAGCTCCCTTTTGCAGGTTGCCAAAAACCAACGGAGCTCAATTGAAACTCCAGGCTTCCGAAAATGCGTATGCAACCACCGAGAATTCGAAACATAGCTCCGTTTGATATAGCTCAACAAACGGGGCACCAAGGCCAAGAAACACAGCTGGTTGCTATGGACGCACAGCCAGTGGCCATCTGAAATAAATATGCACCTTGGATGCCAGAACACCACTCAGGCTTGTGAAAGGAATTGGAAAGCAAATATTCTTATCTTGGAGGACCTCAGCAAGCCCCCACCCAGAAACAAATCTGTCTTTGCTTCCAGCGCATACATTCAGTACGCTTTAACATGTTGAGCGAAAACACAAGATACTAAGAGACGCCAGTCTTTTGAGGCCACCCTTTTCAACCAAAAGGAAACTCGCCATTTGGAGGATCCTCCTATTTGGACGTATCCAGTTTTAGCGGCTCCAGGCAAACCGGCCCGCCTCCCCGACTTGATCCGTCCTCCGCGATGGCCGCCTGCAGCTTCCATCGGCTCGCCGCCGATGGCAGACGCAGGAAGTGCTCCTTCCGTTCGCATCCGGCAGCTGAAACGGCCCCTGATGTCGCTCAGTGGTTTGTAACCCCTAGGTAATTACTCCCTCTGCAATTCTAACTGCGCAGAAGGAGGCCGCACCGCCATAACCGGCCTGCAGGTGAAAGCAAGAGGTTCTGACGAAAACGTGGGGTGGTAGCAACATGTTTGGCCCTTGACGAAGCCACATTTCGTCTTCACCTGCCCATCCTAGCACACCTTGGCAAGCATGTGCAAAAAGGCCGGCTCACCGGGCAGGACCGTCCGACTCCAGCGCGTGTGCCAATCGGCATGTGGAGGCCGTGTGCGACAGTGCCCCAGAACACTAATCACAGAGAAT